TAGAACCCTATCTTCCCTATTAAATGGTAAGAGTCCATATGATTTGGTTTATGGCTTTCAGCCTGTCCTTACTCATCTTCGTAACTTTGGGTGTCTATGCTTTGCTCATATTCCTAATGTAATTCACAAGTTTTTACCCAAATCTGAAAAGTGTGTTATGCTCGGCTATGCCAATTCCAAGAAAGGTTATAGACTATATAGTCTTGATACTAAGAAAATAATATTTTCCAAAGATGTAAAGTTTTATGAAAATATGTTCCCGTTTAAGATGAGTAGTGACAATCTGATGAGACCAAAAATGAAGAGCTTAATGTTTTAAATTTTTTCGATACTGTGTCTGGATCATCTAATGATTTTGATGTTTTGGGACCCAATGATGAGAATGTCGGGCCTTTAGAGATTGAAACTGTTGGTCAATCTGACTCTAGGGATAGCAACCGAAGTGAGCTAGGCGGCCTATCTAGAACTGATAATAGTCAGTTACTTGGCAGCTCAAATAATCATAATATTCAAGATTCATCTCAACAAGGTGATCTTACTCGAGTTACCAGTTGGCAGCCATTAGGTAGCCCTAGAGTGGTTGCTAGCTTGCCTTGTGATGCTAACCCATCTGATGGGAATATTGATGAAACTTTAGAACATGAATCTGAGGGTGTTTCTTCTCAACCTCAAAATCTTAGAAGGTTCCCTAGACCTAGTAATTTTCCCAAAAAATATGATGACTTTGTGATTGAAGGAAAAGTAAAGTATGGTATAGAAAGAGTAGTAAATTACTCTTGCTTGTCTTCTGAAAATTTTTGTTTTGTTTTCAATCTCAATAAATCTGTGGAACCAAAAACATTTAGTGAGGCTTGTAGTGACCAGAATTGGATTAATGCTATGAATGAGGAGATGGAAGCCTTGCATAGAAATGAAACTTGGTATATAACTGAGTTACCTAATAATAGAAAGGCTATTGGTTGCAAATGGGTCTATAAGATTAAATATAAATCTAACGGTGAAATTGAAAGATATAAGGCCAGATTAGTTGCTAAGGGTTATAGCCAAAGAGAGGGCATTGACTATGAAGAAACTTTCTCTCCCGTAGTCAAAATGGTTACGGTTAGATGTATTATTGCTCTTGATGTTCAATTTAAATGGCCGTTGTATCAGTTAGATGTTAACAATGCTTTTCTGTATGGTGACTTAGTTGAAGATGTTTATATGACCCTTCCTGAAGGGTATTACAGTCCAATGATAAACGTGTATGCAAGTTGGTAAAATCTCTTTATGGTTTGAAACAGGCCCCACGTCAGTGGTATGCCAAGCTGTCGTCTTGTCTGACTGAAAATGGGTTTGTTCAAAGTGTTAGTGATTACTCGTTGTTTACAAAGCATGTTAATTCTGTGTTTCTTGTTTTACTTGTGTATGTGGATGACATAGTGATTACTGGAAATAGCCAAAATGAAATAAATGCCTTCAAATATTTTTTAAAGGGAAAATTCTTGATTACAGATCTGGGAAAGTTAAAGTTTTTCTTAGGAATTGAGATTTTAGACTGTATTGATGGTGTGTGTATGTCCCAAAGAAAATATTGCCTGGAGCTATTAAATGATTTCGGATATTTAGGATGTAAACCTGCTAATACTCCCATGGATGTTAATCTCGTGTTTTCAAATACCAATGATTCAAAAGAAAAGTTATTAGCTGACTGTACTGGTTACCAAAGACTAATAGGTAGGCTAATCTATCTATTAGCAACTCGTCCAAATATAGTTTTTTCGGTTTATTGTCTAAGTCAGTTTATGCATGCACCTAGACAATCACATTTAAATCTTGCGCTAAGGATTCTCAGGTATCTCAAAATGTCGCCAGGAAAAGGAATAAGCATTACAAGGTCAGATACTTTTAATCTAACTGCTTTCGTAGACGCCGACTGAGGTAAGTGTCCATTATCTAGACGATCTGTAACTGGTTATTGTTTATTCCTTGGAAACTCTTTAATATCCTGGAAAAGCAAGAAACAGAACACTGTCTCACGCTCTTCATCTGAGTCTAAATACAGAGCAATGACAGCTGTATCGTGTGAAATAGTCTGGATCCTCAAAATTTTATCTGATTTAGATATAAGTAATATGTTACCTGTAAATTTATATTGTGACAATAAATCTGCCATACAAATTGCTAATAATCTTGTATTTCATGAAAGAACAAAACACATTGAGATTGATATTCATTATATCAGAGAGAAAATTAGTAGAGGAGTTATTAGAATTATAAAAATTCCTTCTTCAGAGCAAAATGCAGATGTTTTAACAAAGGCTCTTAGTATCAATCATTACAACTATATGTGCACAAAATTAAAAATGATTGATCTTTGTAAAAGTCAAGATTGAGGGCGGGCGTTAAAATGTATGTATTATCCAATCTTGACTTGTCTGACTTTACTTTGAATGTTCCTGGTTTGTCAATATGTTAACAAAGTTGAGTAGATAATGCAAATATTAAAAGGCTGAGAGGTGACATCAAGTACAAGGGCTGCGCTTCACTTTCTGCCATATATGGAGGTTAGCGGAGCAAATATTTAGAGAATTGAGGGGGCAAATCTGGACAAATTTAAAGATATATAAAGAGATGAGGAGYCGGGCTTAGAAGACCATCATACACATTTTAGCTCAAATCAATTAGGGTTTCTCTCAAATATTCTCTCTCTCTCTCTCTCTCTCTCTCTCTCTCTCTCTCTCTTTCTTACGATTGAAGATCTTACGGTTGAAGATMTATTCTTAATCTTCATATCTTCTTCATATCTTCATATGTTCTACAGGTTACTGTTAGTATTTTCATTAGTCTGTTTATGTTTTCCATCAGTAGTTTAGGTTGTAGTTATATTTTTGTTAGTTTACGTTTCTGTATCGCATTTGTTAAACTCGATAAACATGAAATATTTGAATCCAATGTGTTTAACACCCTTGGAATGGAATTGATGGAATTGAAATCCATCATTTGAAGGATTTAACCATTCCTTAGGGGAAGTGATGGAATTAAAATCCATTCCATCTGAATTTATGTAAATGGCAAAAATACCTTCTTTACAATGTATTAACCCTAGCCGCTCATCATTCTTCCTCCCACGGCTTCCGATTGAATACTGCTTCCTAGATCAAACTGCTTCCTTGATCAAACTGCTTCCACATTTTCATCTTGATCGAACACTGCTTCCACGTCTTCTTCTTGATCGTTCACAGGTCTGTTTCTACTTCTCTCTTCTTTCCCCCTTGCTACTGATTCGAACATTGCTTATCTCTTTTTTCCCCTTGTTACTGTTTCCATTATTGCTCGATCGATTTTCTGCACCATATGTGTCCTATTTGTGCACCTGCTTCCATTTATGAACTGCTTCTGTTTGCTTTTGAATTGATCTGTGCTAAACAAACCATCTATGAACTGCTACTTCTTCTGTTTCCATTTTCTGTGAACTACTATTGCTTTTGTTTCCATTTTCTGTGAATTGCTAATGCTTCTATTTCCATTTGTTGTGAACTGCTACTTCTTCATTGTGTTTGGTGTAATTATGATATAGGTTGTTTTTAATAAAATGTTACAACTTACGATATAATATAGGCTCACAAAGAGGCCGGGAAATGGAAAACAAAACATTTCCTCATTTTGAGGATTTGTGCATTGTCTTTGGCAAGGATAAAGCTAATGGGAGTAGAGCAAGAGATGTAATGGAGATGGAGGATGCAAGCATGGAAGACCATATCAATCAATTCCATGACAACCTTTTATGATGATCAAGATGATGCCTCTCATGCACACACACATGTGCAAAGTCAAGAGTGTACAAGTGGTAGCAAGAAAATGAAACACATGAATGATTCTCTGCATGAAGTAATCAACAATGCAACATTTATGCTTGGTGACAAACTTATGAAAGCATCGGTATCGTTGATGGAAGTTGAAGTTGAAATGCTCAAAAAAAAAAACTTCCATGATCGCCGATGAGATTGAGAAGTTTGGGACATTCTCGGAAACTGAAATGTTTTGTGCATTGCGAAAGATAACAAAAGACTCTGAATCTGTGATCACTTTTTGGAGTTGGAAGGAAGAAAGACGTGAAAACTAGGTCTGTTTCATGTTGGACCAATGATCAAACAATATCTTTTGGTTACGTTAGACCAATGATCAATTGGTGATAAAAACAATATTTTTTTGTTACGTTAGACCAATGATCGGTCTATATTGTTTGGACAATATTTTTGTGTTATCTATTACTTGGATGCTATGTGTAACAATATTTATATATGCATAATTGATGTGTCAACTTGTATGAACGGTTTGGTTTATGGTTGGTTGGAATTTTTTCACGTTTTATATTTATATATGATTCAATAAATGGTAAACATTTTTTTCCTCATTAAATATTAATTTTATTGTTATTTGTAACTAAAAAAATTAATTTTTTTAAAAAAAATATCGAAGAAAGGGTATTTTTGTCTTTTTTTCATCATTGCATTCTAATTATGTTACAAACCAAACAAACAGATTCCAATTCATTACATAAATTAAATATCATTCCTGACAACCAAACACTTAATCAAATTGATAACATTCCACTCAAATTCCTTCCAGATTCCAACTCCATTCAAATTCCTTCCAAATTCCAATTTCTTTTGAGACATATAAATGCCCCCTAAAGGGATGAAGGTGAGAATTTAACCAATAAACTGCAGACTAAGGAACAACAGTTCACAGAAGTAATTTGGGGTTCTAAAAAAACTAAAATCGTTATAAGAAAAGGTTCAAACTGAACCCATTTCAGAGAGAATCAATTAATCAAAACTATCCGTGAGATTGATTTTTATTATGAAAACAAACCCAGATTAGTTCCCAAAACTCAAAAAACACATCAACATTGTTGAAGAAAACAAACCCAGATTAGTTCCCAAAACTCAAAAACACATCAACATTGTTAATGAAAACAAACCCAGATTAGTTCCCAAAACACAAACACATGAACATTGTTAACTCCTTTTCTGCTTCTAACAGTAGAAAAAAAAAAAGATGAAATAAATATTATATAGTTAACCCTGTGTACAAACATCTTTACCAAACAAACTCTTTCATACAAGAAACCAAAATTGGATATTTTTTTTTCATTTTCCTATTTAACTTGTATCAAATTACATTCTCATTCTTGGCCATTTGATGATTCCTCCATTGCCTCTTCAACCTTTTCAACTGTCCTGCCTGAAAAAACAAACATCACCACATTAAAGTTTATTTTATCATTCAATCTCTAGATATATAGTTGCAAATTTGCAATTCTTCACCTTTTTTCTTCTTTCCACCACTTTTCTTTTTGGCCTTTACGGGTAGCGATAACCATGCTTTAATTTCAGGGTCATCAACGATTTTAGTTGGCTGCAACTCCTGCAGTGTATGAGAGGTTATCCGATCCGATCCATTTGGCATCAGAAGAACGGTGAACTTGATATGTGCAACAAAATCACCTGCCACCAAAAACAAACCGGTCCATGTTTAGAGCACTTCTTTAGTAGCTTCCGAGTGTAAAATAGATATTATAAATAGCATCTCTAAAACCAAGAAAATAGAGATTTTGGGAGTTTTGTTGCACCAAAATGGAGAAAAGACAAGGAAATTTTCTACTAAGATAGAGAAGAAATTTTCAAAATTAAATTTTGGAGAGTATATTTCAATTGTTTTTTATTTAATTAGTAGAGTAAAGGAGAAAGAATGCATATCTTTTTTTTAAATATTTTGGATGCAATTTTGAGTTTTCTTCTTTATTTTGGAGAAAATGTTGAAAAATGCTCTTACTGGGTGGTAACAATTGACAATAAATCTTACCAGGCTTTTCATGAAGAACTGGGTATGGCTGCAAAAGCTCATGATTAACACATTCCACCAATCCTAGCCGGGCACGCTTCTCTTCCAAAGCCCTACAAACCAAACATACCATTTCGACTTGAAACACATTTGTAAATACAAAAGAATGAAACTAAAATAATGGGTGCAAGCATACCTAGCTGAGAATGGCATGATTGGATATTTTTGATTAATCTCACTGAATATAAACCGAGATGCTTTCATTTTCAAGTGATAATTCTTGTCAACTGCTCTTTTATAAATTGTTGTCTGCTTTTCATCCAACAATTTAGGCTGCCAAAAGAAAAGCAAGAAATTATTATGGCTCATGGTCTACGCAACTAAACTACAACAAGGTCCTTTTGCAACTCAAATCAGTAATCACCTTGCCATCTCCTGTGCTCGTCACTATATCGATTGCATAAACTTCATTCTCCTCAAACTCAGCATCATCCACTCTGGTTTCCGGATTTGAGACACTCAATACCACTTTATTCCCATCAATCACAAATTGTTTCAGTTGATGACTAAGAACGCCTTCAACAATTTTGCAGTCGTATGCAGCAGCAACCTTTTGAATGGCTTCTGTAACATCTTGGTTCTGGAACATCAAGATGATACACCAAATTAATTGATGTAAATGACTCAAAAAGTAAAAACTAACTTAACCGTACAGAAGTAAACATGATGCTTTTAAATAACACAAGATGCACATCATTCTACTATACTGCAACAAAATAATTCATTGCTCACAGACCACAAATGAATCAATAAAATACCAGAAAAACTTCGGACCAAAAATTACAATAAGTGGTTTAACTTTTATATTAAACTTTGCCTTTACACAAACAAAATATTCAATGTAAACAAGTAACAGCAAGTTAATTGGCCTTTGCGCATTATAAGTTCACCTCATATATGACACATTCTATCTTTTGCGTTTTGGTTCCGTAGATCAAAAATGGTGTCATATAAAACAAACGCACAGCTTAGATTAAATAAAGCTGTTGGATGATCTATAACTAGTTCAATGATGCAAACAAAATAGATCGTAGGTGAAATGCCGATCAATAGTAATTTTGGAAAGATTCTATCAGAGTAACTATGACAAAAGCAACACTTGGAAAATTCTCCCATAGCTTTTGACAAGCATTCATCATTTAGAGATAGGTTGTGTTCCTGACACTACATGACAAAAACACAACTAGATATCAATATTTACTAGTAATCGTTCAAAACTAGATTTATATATGAGATGGCATTAATCAACTTGGAAACATATGATCAAAAGAAGCAACTAAAACAACTAAAGAATGACTCCAGAGAAACAAACAATCAATCCAGCAAACAAAAAGATAAACCCAGTGTTGGCTTAGTGTCAACACAAGAGAAACAAACAAGGATAGAAGAAGTGAACAAACATGACTTTCTATCAGTGTAACTATGACTACAATAAGCATCATAGGAAGTAACTCCATAGCCCATAAATAACATCATCATTTAGAAAAATCATGTCTCAAAGCCCCCAAAAAGCATCATCAACAAAATAAACAGTGTTAAAATGTGACCAAAAAATACACCAAGCAAACATGGCAAGAAAGAAGGAGGTGGGGTAATTCTTTTAGCAAGAACAGAAGCAATCTAAGATTAATGATGATTTTTTTCAAAAAGAACACACAACAGGTACTTGACAACTAATCCTATAGTTCCAATCCAAAACGGTGACACGAGGGATGAGACCAAACTCCTTGTCATGAAAGTAGAATGCCTATCTTAAAATAGAGGCACGCAAAGGGCTAGGTGAACCAAACAGAATAGACTCAACAGAAGAAAACCAACTAAACAAAGTGAACACACGTGATCCCCTAGGCATGGTTGCCTTGTTATCCTCCATTCTGTCATTCATAATAAAAGAATACGACACGCAAAAATCAATAGTATTTATATATATACATGATATCAAACTAACTCTTGTTAAACAAAGTATAGACTCACAAGGGGCACAGTCAACCAATAAAAAAGATGCATGTGCAGAAACCCCAAGAATAAGCCAAAGTCAATATAGGCAACAGGGAAAAAGAGGAAATCAAGAAGCAAGTGATTACCTCAGCAAAGTTGCCTTGTTAAAAAGATTTAAGTTATCCTATGGAATCATTTATATATTCATAGCCAAAGATGACCATAAATAGAGAACAAACAGTTAACGGTATACAAAGTAAACTCATTAAAAAAATAACAGTATACGAAGTAAATTCATTATAAAAAATAAGCTCACACAGAGATAGTCAACCAAAAGAATGGATATTAAGTGGTGTTAATACAAGTAGAAAATGAAATATAGGCTCACAAGGGGCACATCCAACCAATTGAGTGGATGAACATGAAGAAAACCCGTTATCTAGCCAGAGTTAATATAGGCAACAGGGAAAAAGAGGAAATCAAAAAGCAAGTGATCACCTCGGCAAAGTTGCCTCGTCAAAGAACTCTTTAGCCACCATAGGGCCTTTGGCCCAGCGGTATCCGGTAACCCAACCCTTTCTACGGGTCAAATGGTTCCAACCTCACCAAACGAGTGTGTGAGTTTCATTTTCCGCATACTAATATTATGTACTTAAAAGAACGAACCCTTAAGCCACAATATACATCCAAAAAATAAGCTAACAAGAGCACAGTCAACCAATAGAATAGATGCACATGATGAGAATGCAAGATTAATCTGGAGTGATAATAAGAGAAAATCAAGAAACAGGTGACCACCTAAGCAAACTTGCCTTCTCTAAGTTCTTTGTTATGTACATTTCATTTATGCAATTCCCAGTCAAATACCAATCAGAAATGCAAGGAAGACACAAAGATAATGCAAGAAGAATACACATTAAAGAAATATAGGCTCATAAGGGGCAAGTCCAATCAAATAAGTGGATGAACAAGAAGATAACCCAATATCTAGCCAGAGTTGATATAGGCAACAGGGAAAAAGAGGAAATCAAGAAGCAAGTGATCACCTCGGCAAAGTTGCCTCGCCTAAAAGATCCTTAAGTCACAACATACATTCAAAATATAGGCTTGCTAAAGAACACTCACCAATAGAATAGATGCAGACGAGAAAACCCAATATTAAGCTAGAGTTATAATATGAGGAAATCAAGAAGCAGATGACCAACTATACAAAATCGCCTTGTCTAAAAAATTGAGTTGTTATATACATTTGATTTATGCAATTCCCAGTCAGATATCATCAGGAATAGAAGACACATAGATAACAATGCATAAACCAATTTAAGAAAATTAAGCTCAGGAGGCGCCATGAACCAAAAGGGCAGACCATGTATGTTCCTAATTGGTGTGAAGTAGTATACACATTCAAAAAGTATCGGCTCACAAGGGCCACAATCAACCAATTGAGTGGATGAATGAGAAGAAAACCCATGATCAAGCCAGAATTGATGTAGGCAACAGGGAAAAAGAGGAAATCCAGAAAAGTTAGGGATCACCTCGGCAAAGTTGCCAAGTCCAAAAACTCTCTCAAGACATTCAAAACATAGGCTAACAAGAGCAGCCAACCAACAGAATAGACGCATAGGAGGAAAACCCAAGATTAAGCCAGAGTCATCATATGCACCAGGAAAAGAAGAAAACCAAGAAGCACATGATAACTCAGCACAAAAGACTTGCCTAAAAGTTTAAACATGTCATATACATTCAACACTAATTATCTGAAAGCACGTACAATGCAATGAGATTATACCAAAGGTGAAAACTCATTCAATGAAATGCTCACAAGAAAGTCCACTAAAGACCAGCTAAGACCCACCACCATAATCATATTATCCATTTATAACTATCATATTTAAGAGATAATGTCTCACAGATCGCAAAAGCCAACAGCTTTTAAATAGATACCATAGAAATAAAGACTTCAAATTTTTGCAAAATAAAGTGTATGCTCACAGGGCTCATGGTCAACCAATAGATTAGATGCACATGAAGAAAACCCAAAATTAAGCCAGACCAATTTAGGCAACAGGGAAAAAGAGGAAATCAAGTGGTAAGTGATCACCTCGGCAAAGTTGCCTTTTCTAAAAATTATAATGTTCATTCATGCAATTCCTAGTTAAAATATAACAAAGGACACAGATACCCATAGCGTTTGCATAAATGGTATGGGACCTTAGATATTAATATTACCTATCAGAAAAATAGAGGTTAACAAGGAGCACAATCAACCAATAGAATAGATACAAGAAGAGAACACAAAATTAAGACAATATCAATGTCAGCAAGAAAAGGTGAAGGCAGTGCAGGTGAAAGCCAAATAGATCCCATTTTTATCGCTCCACATAGCTCACAACCAGGCACGTGCAGCCATTCTCTCTCTGGAAATGAGGGTGCCCTCGATTGACTTTTATCATCGAATAAGGAATCCTTTAAAATGAGGAAATCAAGAAGCAAATGATCACCCAGCTTATGCTTTTCTAAATTAATTTATTCTTAGTAAAAAATACTAGATAATTTAGCAAGCAAGCAAAGACAAATTTAGCAGTTAATACTTCAAAAATATAGACAAGAGAAAAATCTCGATTATATCACCTTCTTTCCAGGCTTCACAAGTCTTAAGGCAACCTCAGCGGCAGTATTTGCAGCTGCAATGGCATCAGCTGCTCTACCTGTAACAGGTCCTTGCTGAAGAACGTGAGTGTGCCCCACCACAGCTATGAAACCATCTATATGACACCCCATATCACTGAAACCACCAATACCAATCATTTACTCAACAAATCATCATTTTTAAGCATGAAAATCTGGCATGTCGCACCATCAAACATATGTTAATCATGATAACACTCACATTTTCAAAATGTCACCTTCTTCCAATACTGCCTCATCACTAGCAAGTGGAGAGTAATGGCATACTGTGTTGTTCACAGACAAACATGTCGGAAATGCAACACCCCTTTCAATCTTCTTCTTAACATTTTTGTACATACTCCCAGTTTGCCTGTATTTGAAGATAGAACAGAGATGACGCTAACAATTACTAAAATCTGGCTCATATACAATTTAGAAATGGAAAAAGCTTACTCTCTGATGTATGAATCTCCCTTCTCACAAATATCAACAATCTTGGCTTTGGGTTTGCATTCTGACAATACCAACTGCAAGGCCTCTGTATAGTTGAACATATAAATGGCTACCATAAGTACAGCTTTTTGTTGTTATGCAGAATAGAAATGTCACCTTGTGAATCTAACTTTCAGGAGTAACCTTGCTTAAACAAAATAAAAAGCCTAGACAAATCAACTACAGATCTCAAACATGTATCTGCCATAGAATATAAATATACAAAAAAGTCTACTCTTGAACAAAAAAGACAACAGAAAAAACCAGAAGAATTATTGGCTTAGGTAGTAAAGAGAATCTTTTTTAAAGCATAGCTTTAAACAAATAGAAAAAAAAGACTTTTTGTACCTCAAATATCCAAAATGGAGCACGTACAAGTTATCAAAAAGGAATGGTTAGTACACTTAGTTGACAATAGTACATATCATTTGCTTTCAAACCCCTTCAACTCATACTGTAAATAAACAAAAGTGGCCATCTTTTATTTGGACAATAATCTCAGAGTTTCATCAATATCAATTAAAAAAACTAATTCTTTCCGTCACAATGCAATTATTCCAACACTCAAAACACATGTTTCTTAGCCAGACAGGACAAACAGGACTATCTATTCCAAACTAGATCTTTTATCAGACTAGATTAAATGATTATCCCGGTACTGCTCTTAATCGAACAAACAAAATAAGCAAAAATAGAATCTAATCCCTACATTTTCAGATCCTCCCCCAACCCTTAAAAATTGATAAGCTACGGATTCAAAAAGACAGAACCACATACACGTTTACGTATAATTACACATAATCAACAGACTATTCTCAATACGTTATTCCACAAATAACAAAAAGGACGAAGAGTATTAACTGTTAACAATCTCAGCTGCCAACTTGTATTTGGTTACAACTTCTGAAGAGGTAATATCTAGCTCCTTCTCTTCCCCTCTTTCATCATCCGACATGTTTCCTCAGACTACAATCAACATTAAGAAACAAAGCAACATTTAAACAAAACACAAAAATCAAAGATAAAACATGCAGTGATGAAATTGAGGGCAAAACGAACTGTATCGAATTTCAATGTGGAGAAGAGTGCTCACAACTGTAAAAACGAAGCAATTCAACGATCAGCAGAATAGATTAGGGTTTAAAGAAAAGAAAATTGGAAGCGAGTGTATAAAGTCGAATGGTTGTGCTAGGGTTTGGAGGTCGGCGGTGCTTCTGCCTTTATATAGAGTTGGTAGCCTTCTGTTGTTAGGGTTTTCTCGTTCGATGACACGTCAAATGGTTCCACTTCTTTTTCATTTTATTTTTCTTAAACAAAATACGGTATTTTCAAAATTTTAAATTTTAAAAATATTTTATTATTTTTATCTATGTAATTTTGGAATTATAAGATGTTTAGGAATGGCAACGGGCCGGGTTCGGGCCGGGTATTGGTATCCCCGTCCCCGAAACCGATAGCTAAAACCGTCCCCGTAACCGTCCCGATCCTTGTCGGGGATCTTATCGGGGATCCCCATCGGGTCCCAGCGGTTTCCCCGATCCCCGTTGGGGAACCCGTTAAGGATAAAAATTCTCTTTTTCATCGTTGGTTATAACCGAACCCGAACCCGAAACCCAAAACCGATATGAAAAAAATTACAATATGTTAATTTTCACAATTAAAAGTAAATTACAA